TTTTTTTTTACAATAACTAAAATCACTAAATTTGCTTTTACGTTTCTTCAACAACGAGCGCTCCTTCGTTCGCTCGCAATTGGTCACCTTCAGCACGCAGGGATTGACAAATTCCTGATAGTCAAGGCCGTCGAAGCCACAAGTCGGTGCATATAAAGCAGGGCACACCATTGGACATGTCTCCTCCAAGTCCGTCAAGTCCTCCACTTGCACATCATCTTCGACCGCTGCACAGCAGATCAACAACGTGGCAAATATTAAAAATTTCTTGTAGCAAAGCATTTTTGTTGGGTCGCGTGTACTTTTTTCACAACTATATAGTTAGACTCTTTGTAATGTAGTATTGTTTTTGTTTCGAATATACTTCGTATGTATGTAGTACTCGTATCTACACTGACTGATGGTTTATTCTATATCGGTGCTAAGGTAGCCAAACAGTATTTATAGCTTTGTATAGCACCTTCGATATTTTTATCGCTTATCAGCAATTGCCATTGATAAGTTGATATGATACATTAGATCGGGGCGATGCCTGCATAGTTGTAAAACTTACTTTGAAAAGGCTTCGGTGCCATAGATCGCTTAAAAGGTATTTTTGAGCAGCTTAAACATCACGAATAAATATTAAATGTATAAAATTTCTAAATTCATGGTCAGGCGAAAATTGAAAAAAATTTTATTTTGCTTATGTAGGAGGCAATTTGAGTCAAAGAAATAAAAAAAAGGATTAAAAAAAAATATTTTCGAAGTAATTATGCCACTCTTCGAAACCATGTTACGATTTAATAAAAAAAAGTATGACAAAACTGGATTTTGGCTACTTTTTAGCCTCCTAAGACCGTGATATGAGTGGTGGCCCTAACCGCCAAAAAGATGTAAACGAAATTTTCGTTTTCAAAATTTTATTTTTGATGCAGAAATGCATCTAGATGCTCCAGAAACGTTTTTGCATCAAACAAAAAATTTTGAAAAAAATTTCTCTTACACTTTTTTCGCTTAGGGCTCGATATGTGCATCTTAAATTCTTTCAATTCATAACAAGTGACGATAGCTTGCGGTCACTTCTGATAATTGTGTTATTCCCTCGGAGCTATTAAGCTTCCGAAAATATTTAAAAATTTAAAAAAAATGTAAAAGAAATATAAAAAGTAAAATATATAAATTTTTTTTATTTATTCATGTTCAGGTGTTAAGAGGTTAAGGACTCGTCAAGTGGCACATTTTTGTGACTCAAAAATACTATCTAACTAATTACATATAGACTTTTTTCGTGACCCAGTCTAATGCACATACTACATGTTTACATACAGACATGTGTAAATATGTAGGTTGAGTGCGGCAACATGTTACTGAAATCAAAACATACAGTTGATTCAAGTTAGTTCTGGTGTATATCGTCGGTGATACTCTGCAAAACGGTCTATGTCTATTAGTACCCTTGACACTTATATGGTCTCTTACTTGCACCGGAATGCATCTGCAAATCCTTACACCCTAATAAACGAATGCCAAAACTGTCTACCTTTGGCTGATGAAGAAGAACAATTGCTAAAAGCGATCAGATACAGATAACAGATCAATTAAGCACCAGACGTTATAAGTGACATAGAACGTTTTGCAGTATCACCAACTATATGGTATGCATGCTATGAGTAAGTACGACATGCACAATGGGTTAAGGTTAATGAAAATGTGGGAAAATTAAATTCAATAAGTTCTGTTACTAACAATTACCTATTCAATGTGCAATTGGGTGCATATATGTTAAAATTTAGCTTATTGTCAAGGTTAGTTTAAGTTAGATTAGGTTAGGTTGAGCTATTTGCCCCAAACAGGAGCTCTCTCTCAGGCAACAAACATCAGTCTCTTGTGATAGAAAACTCAAGCTAAACTCAGGAGAGTCTTTAATCAATGCGACAAGTCAAAATTGTGGCAACCATACAAGTATGCAGCGAAGCAGTATGAAACAGCGATAAGAAAGGTCAAACTCTAAACCAAGTCTCATTAGAGGATGGGCTCAAAAATAAGCAAGTGGAGCTGACGAGCCTCCTGAACCCCCCTTTCTTTGTCGGAACCAGGCACGAAGCCAACGCGTACAGAAAAGAGCACTCAGACTACATGCCTTCGATAATATTATTTTCATGTCCCTTTTAATCTGTTTAAAATGTGCACGATTTACGTATAAACCTAAGCAGATTTTTGGGTGTCAAAAAGCTCAAATGTTGGTCTCTCAAAACATTGCGACCAAATGTCTCATACCGAGTTTTTGCAAAAAGTGTTCCACCGTCTCATTCTCTGCAAGGCAGGATGGGAAAATATAGTTGCCATATACGCCTTACCAGTCAGAGGTTTCCGACCAGCGTTGCCGCTTTGGTAATTTTTAACCAAAATTGGTAATTTTTTACTTTATTTATCAAGTTTGGTAATTTGGTAATTTATTTTTCAATTTGGGAATTTTTTTCGTGTTGGACTTACATGTCAAATAGGCCAATATTGGTTCTGATTCCACATTAGTAAGGTTACCGTAAGCGTTTCCTTTTATAGAAATACCTGGTAATCCTGAAAGTTACGTAAGGCGAAAGTTGTTCCAGCGTTCCTTGGCTACTAGAATGGTGTGTATATCTACCGAGTCTTTTCCTGAAAGGTTTTTTGAAGGTCCTACCTTTCCCAGTCAGTTCGTCAGCTTTTCAATTACCATAAATTTTCCGGTGTAACCGGCAACCATATATATGAATAGAATTCTACGTAAATACGTATGTTCTCGTTCAAAAAGCTACGGCATTCTGCGGGGAACTTCACTCTGTCTGTATGTGTGAGTCGAAAGCTTTCCTTAAAGTGTTGAATTTTTGATATATTTTCTTGTCACTTGTTTACATACAGTGGTCGAAAAAATTATAGCCGCACCATATTTTGACAAGATTTAACATATTATTCTTTTTGTAAGTTAATTTTGGTTATTCTTTATAAAAATATTGTTATTTCTTTAACAGAACTGTACTGATAAAATCAGTACGTCTGGCAACCGTAAATATTGCACAAAGTTTGAAACATGCATGTACACTAAATAACAAAAAAACAAGTAAGAGCAGCGCTGTCTTCGGCTATGCCGAAGGCTTCATACCTTTCATGAACATCTGCAAATTTTACTTTGACAGATTACTGCTTTTGAATACATCTGCATACATCGATAGAGGAGTTACATACTTATATAAAAAATCGCATCTAAACAATCAGAGGTATGGAAGATATACTTTATATGACACCAATCTAAGTGATTTTCACCGCTATGTGATCGGTATGTAAACCGGTAACACAATTTATTGGGTTTAGTTTCGTACATAAAGGAGATATATGGCAAAAACTGGTATCTTAACAATCAGTGCTATAGGAGATAAAGCTTATACAGCATAGATTTTGACGATTTTCTCAGTAGACTTTGTATTATTATTTATAAAATATCTTACGAAATTTATCGGTTTTAGCTGTTCAAATAAAGGAGTTTTACAGTAAAATCCCATATCTGAACAATCAGATGTATGGAAGATATATATTGTAGTCATCCGATCCTTGTTATTTTCACTGTAAGTATTTTGTTAATAATGAGTGAAAATGGTGCGAAATTTCATGTTCCTAGCTGCATAAATGGAGGAGTTATGATAAAAGACCTCATATCTGAACAATCAGTTGTATGGGGGCTGCAGGTTATAGTGACCCGATCTTTGTTATTTTCGCTGTAAGTCTTCTGTTGATAATGAGTGAAAACAGCGCGAAATTTCATGGTCCTAGCTACAGAAATGGATGAATTATAACGAAAAATCTCATATCTGAACAATCAGTTGTATGGGAGCTATAGGTTATAGTTACCCGATCTTTTTAATTTTCACTGTAAGTTTTCTGTTGATAATTATTGAAAACAGTGCGGAATTTCATGTTCCTAGCTATATAAATGGAGGAGTTATAATGAAAAATCTCATATCTGAACAATCAGTTGTATGGGAGCTATATGTTGTAGTGGTCCGATTCTTCCGGTTCCGACAAATGATTAATACATTATAAAAATACACCCACCTACCAAATTTGATCCGGATATCTCGAAAACTGAGAGACTAGATTGCATACAAACAGACAGACAGACGGACAGACGGACAGACGGACATGGCTAAATCAACTCAGCTCGACGTTCTGATCATATAAGTATACATTTTCATGGGTCTATCTCTTTTTGTTCTGGTACTTACAAACATCGGACCAAAGTTATAATACCATTTCATGCTCATGAAAGGTATAAAAAATAACTAAATTAATAACACGTGTGGTGCAGTATAATTTATTCGGCCACTCTATCTATATCATGAATATTTTGTACATTAATCCTTAGGCGCCAACGGCGGCGGCGTGGCTTGGCGGCGTATACCTCTAATACAAAAGTATGTACGCCCCGCTTCACTTAATAAGGTGCACATTTTTTCCTCAGATCTGAGCTTATATCTGGATTTTTGAAATTAAATTAATTGAAATGGGGCACATCAAATCTATGCATGTCAACACAAGCAAGTGCGAAGCCGATATAAAGCTTTATAATTTACAGAGCTCATGTGTAAGTGGGAGACCTGTCTCAGTTGCATGTATACCAAACTCCGTCCAGGTTAGACACACGACTGCGTAGGATCTTAAACCTATCATTTGTACCTACTACTAGTTTCCTACCAAAAAAGGACAAGCCCACTGAGACCCCGCTTAATATTCTGATCAAGTTTATCGAAAAGCCTTTCAGCTGCAAAATCTATTGTCTGGTGGCTTTTTCACAGACCATAAGTTTCATATGTTAAAACAAGAATCGTCTCTGGCTACTCCCAACTGAGTAACGATCATTAATTTTCTTCACTTGGAGCAATTAAAACAAAAAAATATTTTAACACTAAATTAATGGTGTTTGCTATACTGTATTTTATAAAATCTGACATCACATGAAACAAGTGTGCAAACGACAGAAAAAAAATATTTACTTTACATATTTACATCCGTATGTACATGCGTATACATATGTACATATGTATGTACAAAAGTATGTATATTAGGGTGGGTCAATTTGTATGGGAGATTTTTTCGACTATTCGCGTATAGCACAGAAGACTCTACTTGTAATTCTAGGCACATTTTCCCCAGAAACTATGGGCCTAAAATCAATTTGGAGTTTGCCAAATTGCGAAAATAACTTTCTTAGCATTTTGCTGTAGTGTCTTAAAGAAGTGCTTAAATTTTGTATAAACACTTATCGTTTTCTTAAAACTTCCACTAGAGGGCGCAACAGGCAAAATTTTAAACTTTTCTTCGAAGCCTTTTTCTGCAAATTTGGCAAACTCCAAATTGATTTTAGACCCATGGTTTCTTCGGCAAATTTTGCTTAGAATTACACGCAGAA